CTTTAGTCCTGGGATTTTTGTTCCAATTCAAGGTAATTATACTGTACTTTCTGGGCCTGCGGTGCTTGCAAGCCCCATCCTTGCCTGAAGAAACTCTACTGAAAGACACAAGCCCATTTTTAGTGGGAGCAATACTACACACAAATGCTATGTAGTTCAATACACAATTTTATAACTGACTTTCTAAAACCTTTAGAGAAACAGGTCTCAAGAACTTACTCACCCATTAGTCAACTCCTCCAAACATACTGCACACCTACTGTTAATTCATCCCATAAACAATGCAGAAGACTTTCTAAAAGAAGAATACACACTTCATGGAGTTGTCTTTCAAACACAGGTTTAACTTAAAAATGACAATACCTAAGAACTGTCAGTTGATGAGACATGTAAAGACATCTCAGTTATTATGTTTTCAAATCTTCCCAAGAGTAACCTAATTTGGGTAAGATTCCAGTGTTTTCCTATATTATCTCCCTATACACCTCTGATGGGCTTCCCTGGTGGCCGAGATGGTAAAGAATCTGCCTGCAATATGGAAGACCTGGGTTCGACCCCTGGGTTGCGAAGATCCCCTGGGGAAGAGAATGGCTACCCACTCCAGTATTCTTCCCTGGAAAATTCCATGGACAGAGGAGCCCAGCAGGCTATAGTCCATGGGGTCACAAAGAGTTGGACATGACCAAGTGACTAATGCACACACATACACACACACAACCCTCTAACGAAGTCAGACACAAGTAGATACAATTGAGAATGGAATACATAATATTAAGCCTGGTTCCCTGGCCTAATCTTTTACCCTGAAAGGAAACTGACTGAATAAAACGCTTTGTCAATAGCAGCCAATTTTGACTAAACAGTACTTCAAAAATGTCATCAAGAGATTAAGCTTAACATTTAAAAAAAAAGAAAAATACTAAATAAAACAAAAGGCTAGGTTTCTCCCCTCCTCAATTTCCCTGGCATTTAGAAGAACTGCCTTAGATAAGTCCACAAATGAACAGCTGAGCTACATAATGTACAGTTCTAACTGGGCAGCTTCTAGAAAAATAAAAGGACTCCTTCCAACCCCAGTTAATGTGCTTGATACAAAAAGAACATGTTACTGCAACAAATATATTTCTGGCTTGATTTTTACAGAGTAACTAATGAAGGCTCCAGCCATAGGGGAAAAGAATAATTTTTCCAGGATATTAAATGTTCTGACTCACCATTTAACAGAAGTAAAACTTAAATGAATATTCAAATTAAATATATACATATTTATGACTTTATCCATGTATGACAAAGCCTGTGGCTTCTGGTTTTATTAACCAGGAAGAAAAGTCTGGAAAACTACCATAGATTTGTATTTCTATAATATAGTTTCTTCTCCCCAAGCACTGGTGGAAGCAAAGTACTAATTCTGAGTCTAGTGATATATATATAAGCCAAGAGAATCATAGTGAATGGATGAAAATGGACATTGTCTCCTTTATTATCTGTTTGGACAAGAAGATGTAAAAATATAAATACGAAACCATTAGAAATGTGACACCTCATGAATAATTACTAGTAAACAGAAATTTTCTGTTAATCTGATTTCTAGAAGTCAAAAATGCACTCTCACCATAGACCCCCTAGTAAAGCAAGAATCTTAAGAATTTCACATTAGCCGTAGTCCTCCTGCTAAACATCTGTGAGACTACAAGCAAGTCAATTCACCTCTCCAAGCCTCAGTATTTTACCCATAAAAGGCCCAAGTTTCTGAACCAGTTAATATTTGAATTCTTTCTCAGAAAGAAATCTACCTCAATCCCCCATGGCTGAATCAGTAAGACCCATTCTAATTATCTGTCATCATCTTCTAAAAGTTAAAACACTCTTCTGTGCATATAGGAAGGATGGGTGGAAAGAGAAGAGGATTCTTAGAGGGAAGAGAAACTAGGTTGGTTTTGTTAATTAGGTTCCTCCTCTGAAACCACGAGTCAGTATTAGCATATGCTGAAATTTACCCAAATATAAGAATGGTTGGTGTCTTCATCTCAAGACATATTCTTTCAGGAAAGGGCACAAGTCAATTTCTAGGAATGTATATTTCAGCCAGTTGCACATCACTAACAACTAAGGCAGGCAAGAGGCAAGCAAAAGAGAATGACATAGATGTCAGCTTATGGTCTACACCGAGAAATAAAAACTCATCTTTATTCGATGTATTCGGGAAGGAAAGGCACAACATGCACCTGCCAGCTTCAGGAGGCACACCTCTCATAGGTAAATTACCTTATGGGTCAGCAGATGCTGGGAATTTACATGATGAGATTCTAAGGATAGTAAGATGCTTTGTTATCCTCCTTCATTCAACTCTTCATTGACTACTTACTATATCAAATCCCAAAGCCAAAAAAATAAATGAAGGTATGAATTGACAGTCTATAATATTCAGGTAAATCTTGATATTTATTTTAGAGTAGTGCAGCCCCTGAGAATATTTCCAAATAAAACAATAATACTAAACAATATAGACGCTAAGCTAAAGTGCCCTTGGAATTTTCTTTCCCTTCATTAAGTGGCATGTGATGAAGGGGAAGTGTGTGTTAATCTCTCAGTCATGTCCGACTCTTTGTGACCCCATGGACTGTAGCCCACCAGGCTCCTTTGTCCACGGCATTCTCTGAGCAAGAACACTGGAGTCGGTAGCCATTCCCTTCTCAAGGGAATCCTCCCGACCCAAGGATCAAACCCAAGTCTCCTGCACTGCAGGCACATTCTTTACCATCTGAACCACCTCATTAAGTGGTATGTGATGAAGGGGAAGTAAATTACAAGTGGAACAGGTAATTTGGATTACCTATCAGTTAATACAGGGTGAAAAATTTTCTTTCCCCTAGAGAAATGATTTTATTGGATTACAAATTTATTGATAAGCATTATAGAATGCTAAAACCAGAAAGAGAAAAATAACTCAGTGCATACTTCTTGTTTTATATGTGAGATACTTGAGGCTCAAAGGTGGTAGGATTTGGTCCAGGTTATACAGCTAAATCCCTGGAGGAGAAAATGGCAACCCACTCCCCTATGTTTTTGCCTAGAAAATCCCATGAACAGAGGAGCCGTGTGGGCTACAGTCCATGGGGTCACAAAAGAGCCAGACACAACTTAGAGACTAAACAAAAACATACAGTCAAGTATACTGCCAGAACTAGAACCCAGGTCACCAGCAAGCATACTTAACTGTCCCTGATGTCCTGTATCCCATGATGTCTCCTCATTGCTGTCAGAAGTGAAACAATGTCACAATCTACAAAGCAAAGGACCAGACATCAAGAGCTTTGAGTTCTAGTCTTGTAAACTCTACTAGATTAGACATGATACTATACAAAACTAAACCTCAGTTTTCTCATCTGTTGAAATTTGAAAAGTAATTCACAGTGAGACCGTGCAAACCACAATAAATGTAGAAATGTCTGGCCACTGTAAAAACCTTATACAAGTACAGACCTAGCACTGGGTGGATGATAATAGTTGTGGTGATGACTTCAGACAACCTGGCTTCAACTCTTAATTCCAGTCACTTGTTACCTTGATAAGTCATTAAACCTGTGAGCCTCACATTCCTCTTGTGAATATCTGGTTAACAATTCTGGCCCTGCCTCCCCCAGAAATGGTCAGAATTAAAACTTTTTCAGAAAAGGTTGTTGTTGTTTCAGTTGCTAACTCAAATCCGACTCTTTTGGAACCCCATGGTCTATAGCCCATGGGATTCCTCTGTCCATGGGATTTTCCAGTGAAGAATACTGCAGCGGGTTGCCATTTCCTTATCTGGGGAATCTTCCAGACCCAGGGATCCAACCTGAGCCTCCTACATTAGCAGGCGGGTTCTTTACCACTGAGCCACCAGGTCAGCCCTTTCAGAGAATATGAAAAAGCATCTACAAAGCAAGGCATTGATGCAAATGTGAGGTATTACCAAATCCCTCTAGTCTTATTTGGACAAAGATATAACAAGATTTTATTCATTTTTTCAAGTGTTCCTCCTCAACTAAGACGTCATTATGCATCAGTCTCCGTCTTACCAGCTTTCTCATCAGTTTTCCTAAGTCTCCACAGAAGGCACCATTTCCCTCAGCTCGGAGATCATGCTTGCTGCTTACTCAACTTCCCACTGGCAAGGACTTATCTGAGAAAGGTTTACTTCTAGGGCCTCCTTTCGACTGGAAATGCCCTGACAAAAGCTTCCATGAACACTATTATACTTCATCACATTAAAAGTGGTAAGGAATCCAACCCTTTGGCTTTTCTCCACTCCCAGGACTTCAGCCTTTACATAGAAGAGACAGAGAAGCCTGGGTGGATGCTTTTCACCGAAGGGCAGCAAGGGTTCCCCAAACCCATGCTCGGTAGTACTGACGGGGAGAATGCTGCTTCTTTGTGGGTGACTAGCACATTCTTAGGCCCAACCGGCCTCTCAAGGGTCACTCACCTTAGAGCTAGGGCCCCTGGCAGGCTGAGGCTATCATAGAAAAATAGAAGGGTGGGGGAGTGGGGGTGCGCAGTATTTTTGTTCTGCAACATGCTAGCTGCCTTAAAAAAAAAAAAATCAGAGTAACTAGCATTTCCTAGCTAACAACCCAGATTTCAGTTGATTAGAGGGAAAAATTCATCAGCCTATCCAAACAACTCTGGAACAGGTTTCCATCCAACCATGCCGGGCATCGGAGACAAGTGAGTTGGGGGGGGGGGGGCCGGTTAGAACTGACAACAGGCTTATCTGCATAGATGAACGATAAGCTGCCATTTGTTGTCTTCTGTTACGTGACTCTTGGCACCGGTTTGGCAAATCAAACCCCGGAGTTCTCCCTCTCCGGTGCCCCCACACTCCCACCCCCCAGTCCCAGCTGTTAAAGCGTCATGTTGACCCGGCTGGGGAAGAGAAACAAGGGAAACGCAGAAGTCTGTATATTGCTGCATTTAGGTTGAAACCACGCCGCACCTGTTCAATCCGGCTCCGGCGCCAGAAATGACCAGAACATCGACTCGCAAGCCCCTCTTGAGATCCCAGGGGCGCCTAACAAGTTCGCGTTGTTTAATATCCGGAGAGGGTGGTGGGAGAGCTCTCTTTTTGCAGCCAAACTCAGGGGACTACCCAGAAAAAGGGAAGGGGGCTCCGGCTCCTGTGAACCCAGAGTGACCCCCAGTGTCACTGCGGCCCCGGGGATTCGGGTAGTAAGCGGAGTGGGTGCCCGCGGGGAGCGCGCAGCCGTGGCCCGGAGGAATGAAGGTCCCGCTTCGGTGGCCACGCGAACCCCCTCCGCCCTATCTCCAGCACCAGACGGACAAAGTCGGAGCGTCGAGATCGCCAGGGTTCATCCGAGACTCAGAGCCCCCAAGCTCGAGTCCAAAAGGAGGGTCGCGGGAGGAGGGGCAGGGGACGCGCAGGAAACTTACCTCACCGGGACAGCCTTCGGGCACCTCCGGTGTCGAGACCAGTTGCGCCACAGCGTGCAAGTTGTCGGGACGTTGTCTCTTCCCCGGGTCGAAAGGAGAGCCGTGCAGGCAAGGGGCGGGGGGGGTGGGGGTGGGGGTGGGGGGGTCAGCGGGGCGGGGCCCGGGCCCGGGCGCAGCGCGCGGAGCCGGCAGGTGCCGGGGCCCGAGCCGCGGGTCCAAACTCGCCCCGGACGCGCCTCAGCGGGGGCGCGCGGCTGCGAGTGTGCAATGCGCGCGCGCCGCGGCCAGAGTGTGTCCCCGCTTTCCCCTTCCTTCCCCGCCGGTCCTGCGGCCAGACTGAGCCCGGAGCAGCCGCCGAAGCCCCCGCTGCTCTGAGCGGCTCCACCGCCGGGCGCACTCTGGCCGCGGCGCGTTCGGGGTCGGAGGCCGGGGACTGAGGAGCAGGGCGCCCCCGGCTTGGGCGCAGGTTCCTGCGCAAAGCGCGCCGGAGTCGGAGCGAGGAGCGGAGAGAGCGGGCTGCGCGGCGGCGGCCGCGGCTCTGAGAGGCTGCAGGCCCCGCCCGCCGGCCGCCCAGGCTCTTCCCCTTTTCTCTCCACCCCCTCGCTCCATCCCCGCACGCCCTGCAGGGAAGCCAGACCGGTTTGCAGCTGCGGCGGCGGGAGCCTGTACCGCAGTAGGACTGGGCGTCCGAGTCGACGTTGGGGACAAGGCGCTTGGTCCCGCCGCCGCGTGCCTAAGACAGAGAGCGGGGGTGGAATGGGCCCCTAGATCCAGCCGCTTCCTGCAGGGCTAGCCAAGGGCTTCCCGGCGGTGCTCAAAGTCTTGTAGCCCCGGAGAACAGGGTTGTGTTTGGGACAGGGCTCCCGCTTCCTCGGACCACCAAACTCTTCGACACCTGGTCTCCTGCCCGCTGGACTCTGCTTGCGCCGAACCCCCACTTTAACCAGGAAGGGGCAAGGCAGTCTGAAGGCAGCACGTGTTCCCAGGAAGTAAGACCTACCCAACAGGTAGAAATAGGTAGGAGAAGGGGTCCTGGGAGAGAGAAGGCTGGAGGGACGTCAGGCACTGATGGTCGGTGATGAGGATTCGGGCCAAATCTTACTGACAGCGCTGAGAGGGCGTGGGGCCCTCGTAATCTCACCCGACGTCAGTCCAGCAGCGGAGAGGACACCGGCCAGGTCTAAAGGACTCTCTTGGGTCTGGGAGAGGGGGAGGAGGAGGGAGCTGCTTTCATGGAAGCTATACCTACATATGCTTAATTGGAACCGAAAAGGTAGCGGCTCTCTCCCAGCCGGATCATAACAAGTGCTATTTCTCACCCTCACCACTTCCTTCCACCTTGTTGCTTAGCCGCTCAGTCGTGTCCGACTCTTCGCAACCCTCTGCACTGTAGCCCGCCAGTCTCCTCTGTCCGTGGAATTTTGCAGGCAAGAATACTGGAGTGGGTTGCCATTTCCTTCTCCAGGGGATCTTCCCCATTCAGGGATCGAAACTGCGTCTCCTGCATTGCAGGTGGATCCTTCCCCTTTATGCTTATTTAAAAAACAAACACATTCGTGGGAAACGTAGGATACATTCTGTCCAAGAAAACCAACCTTTCATGTTCTTATCCTCAGATACTGCCTAATGGGTAAGCCAAAATGAATTTGCTTGAAAGGATACTCTGTTAGTTCTCAGCAAATGAAAAAATCTCTCTTTTGAGTTGAAATCTTGTACTTCCCAGTTCAGAATGGAGGGCAATAATTCCTTAGTAACACATATCTGTTAAACTTTTTCTAGCATACCTCTTCCAGATGTGTCAGGCCACCCCTGGGAGTTTTAGGGCATCACTTGTTTAGGACCCTGTGACTTGTGTCTGGTTTTAGCATCTTAGGCTCTTCAAAGCCTTGGAGCAGGAACACAAATCTAGTCCAGCATGATCACTTCACAGAAGTAAAAACTGAGACCCCAATATATTAAGTGACCCACAGGCCAGAACACTGGTTCCTTGATTCCCAGAAATGCTGGACTAACAAAGTTCAGTTTGGGTCTAAAGAGGCCTGGGTGGAGGAAAGAGACACAGATCAAAGAACCCTTCATCTGCCTGGTGTGAATCACCGTGTAGAGGGCAGCAGCATACCTCTTTAAGCAGCAGACTGCTGGGATCTGGGGATGGTAATCCCAGTGTCTCCTCTGCTTCTCCGATATTTGTTCTGAAATCCAAGGAGTAGAAAACAAATCTGCTTCCCAGAGAGGTAATGATAAGTGAAAATACAAAGTTAGTTCTCGATATTTCCTGGGAATGCTGAGGAGATAAAAACAGATAAAATAATAGCTCAGATGTGGTCACCTCTGCTACTTACAAATGGACACACACACATGTACACACCTGTCCTCCTTTTCCATTAAAACCCTGTTTGATTCCCTTCTGTAAAGCACAGATGCCAACAACCTTCAGTTTCCAGAGCAAACTCACAAAGCAGAATAGCCACTGGCTATTTAGAGAGCTAACACTATTAAACAGGATTCTAGGTGCTCTGTTTTTTCCAGTAGTCATGTATGGATGTGAGAGTTGGACAATAAAGAAAGCTGAGTGCTGAAGAATTGATGCTTTTTGAACTGTGGTGTTGGAGAAGACTCTTGACAATCCCTTGAACAGCAAGGAGATCTAACCAGTCCATCCTAAAGGAAATCGGTCCTTAATATTCATCGGAAGGGCTGATGCTGAAGCTTTGCAAAGCTTCAATACTTTGGCCACCTGATGTGAAGAACTGACTCCTTTGAAAAGACCTGATGCTGGGAAAGATTGAAGGCAGGAGAAGAAAGGGACGACAGAGGATGAGATGGTTGGATGGCATCACCAACTCAATGGACATGAGTTTGAGTAAACTCTGGGAGTTGGTGATGGACAGGGAGGCCTAGTGTGCTGCAGTCCATGGGGTCGCAAAGAATCAGACAAGACGGAGCAACTGAACTGAACTGAACCATTAGCAATAATGGCTTGGCCATAAACTCTGGAAATGTTTAAAAATCAGATAATGCTTATCTAATTGTTTTACTTGATTCCGAGTATAATTTTTCCAACTGATTTCAGATCTTAGTCTAAAATCTTAATAATGCTATTTAGTACTCCCCTATGCGAAACAGGCATAGATTTCTTATAACAGATTTAATAGCATTAATGGCCCCAGTTAATGACGTCCCTTTAGCCATGTCCTTTTTTCTAATTCTGTAGTCCCCTCCCACTCTGTTCGCTCATCTGCTTCACTTTGATCAGTGGGGCAGTAGCAGACTTGATGTAAATGGAGGTTTGAAAAATGTTTGTCAACAAGGAAATACCACTACACATCTATGAAAATTTCCAGAATCCCAGAACACTGACAAAACCAAATGCTGGCGAGAATGTGGAGCAAAAGGAACTTTCATTCATCGCTGGTGGGAATGCAAAGTTCCATGGCCACTTTGAACAACAGGTTTTCACTTCCTTACAAAACTAAACATACTCTTACCATGTGATTTAGCAATCATACTCCTTAGTATATAGCCTAAGGACCTGAAAACTTACGTCCATACAAAGACCTGCATGTGGATGTTTATAGCAGCTTTATTCAAAATCGCGAAAACTTGGAAGTAAATCAAGATTTGCTTGGTAGGTGAATGGATAAACTGTGGTAAAATGGAATATTATTCAGTGCTTTAAAAAAAGAGAGCTATCAAGCCACGAAAACACACGGAAGAAACTTAAATGCACATTACCAAGTGAAATAACTGTCTGAAAGGGCTACATATGGTATGATTCCAACTATATGATATTCTAGAGAAAACAAAACTATGGAGAATCAGTGGCTGTCAGAGTTAGAGGGAGGGAGGGATGAATAGGCAGAGCACAGAGGATTTTTAGGGCAGAGAAACTACTCTGTATGATTCTTCAACAATGAAGATGTCATTATACATTTGTCCAAAACCTTAAAATTCATTAAGAATGAATCCTAATGTAAACTGTGGTCTTTGGTGATAACGATGGCGTCTGTGTAGGTTCCCAGGTGTAGCAAATGTGCCCCTCAGGTGGGGGATGTTGATAATGGAGGAGGCTATGCATGTGTAGGAGCAGGTGGTATATGAGAAATCTCTGAACCTTCCCTTCAATCTCGCTATGAACCAAATCTGCTCTAAAAAATGGAGTCTATTTTTTTTTTAATTGTGTGCATTTCTGCTTCTGTTCTTGGAATTCTGCCATCAGCAGGAGAACAAGCCCACTGAAGGATGAAAGACCCTGTGGAACAGAGCTGAGTCATTGAAGTTGAGGTCATCCTTGACCAGCCAGCCCTCAGTTGACTGCAGAAGTACAAACAAGTTCAAATGAGATCTGCCAAGCTTGGCCCAGACCAGAACCACCCACCCAACTCAAAGATTTGGGAGAAATAAAACATGGTTGCTGTTCTGACTTCAATTAATTATCTATTGCTGCATAGCAAACCACTTCTAAACTCACAGCCTAAAACAACCACCATTTACTATTTCTCATGAGCCTGTGAGTCAACTGGGCTCAGCTGGGTCTCGGCTAGAGTCACTCAATTGGCTGCATTTAGGTGGCCGCTGGCAGCTGGGCCAAATTAGAAGGTCCGAGAAGCCTTCACTCATAGATACCTCCATCTGCCTCTCACAACCTTTCTCTTTCTGCATGGCTAAGTTATGGAACTTTGGACTAGTTACAAGTCCTTTCTGAATCTCTCTATGAAATGAGGGAAATTAAGTTTATCCATATTGCTAATGCATATTTAACCTTTTCTTTGATGATATCTCAAGGGCAAATTGAAGTCCAGTAAATACCTAGAAGGGTGTTGGAGGGAATTTGGGGCACATTGGTCAACCATGGGTAATTCTAGCATTTCAATTGTTACTTATTTTTCAAGGAAAAATTCTCAAGAAGCCACATGGAAGACATGCACTGCCTCCATGCACATCAAACAGTAAAGCAGGAGGTTGCATCCCTCACAACTGCTGAAGAGTCGTCTTTCATCACATTGTCCTCTCTTTCTAGAAACTTCATTTCTAAGCAGATAAGTTAAATGCTTAGCTGACTCCCCTGTATAACCTGAGATGCTCATTTCAGAGGGTGCATTTACCTAGGGGACCTTATACTCTCTAATTTCAGGTTTGCTCTTTAAATTATCAGAGGCTTGAAAACCTCACCCCCAACTCCCTTCCATCTCTTCTTTCTCCCTGGACCATCTTCCTTTCCTCTAACTTTGTTTTCTTGTCCTGCTGCATCCTTTCTCCCTTAATCCTACAGCACTGAACAGGGAGCCCTAGGCCTACTTTCTCATCCCACCTCTGTTCCAGCAACAGTGAAGTCTGAGTTCTCTCTTGGCTCCAGATTCTTTGAATTCAGATTC